CCCCCCCCCAGGGCTCCGCCTGCATTCTGGCCCCCCTCCCCTCCGCCAACCTGCCTCCCCCCCCACGCAGGGTGAGCTCAGCTCGCGTCCCAGCCCTCTGGGGAGCAATATCAGGCTGCCAGGCAACTCTGAGCCAGCAGGAGGTGCCAGAGAAAGCCCCTGGTGTGGTCACAGCAGGATTGGGCCAGGGGAGGAGAAAGACAGCGTGGTCCAGTGGAGAGATCACAGGCCTGGACCTTGGGACACCTGGCTTCTCTCTCCCCCCGCTGACTTTGGGCCAGTCCCACCCATGGCTCTGTGCCTCAGTTTCCCCTTCCGCCCTTTGTCTGTGTAGACAACATTGGCTCTCTAGGGCGGGGACCGTCTCCCTCGTGATTATAACACCCATGGAGCCTCAGGAGGCCGGTGTTTAATGGGAACGCCCAACCAGGACTGCCCCCTGGCCTGTGTTCTGCCCCTGCGGCTCCAAACCCCCCTGCTCTGGTCTGCACGTGAATCTGGGATCAGCCTCCAGAGAGAGGCTTGACTGGTTTTGGCCCTGCACCCCATGCGGGTCTGCAACGCCTCCCCCTCTCCCTTCCCCCGCCAGCCGGCCCACGGGCCTCTCACTTCCTGCTGTGGCGCCCCCTTGTGGGCAGAGGTGCCTGGCTGTGCCCCAGCGCTCAGGTCTCCTGCACAGACCAGAGGCAAGTTGAAACGTTCCCCACCCAATTTATTCAGCCCCAAGCCCTGGGCAGCGCCTCCCTCCCCTTCCCGCCCTTTGTCTGTGTAGACAACATTGGCTCTCTAGGGCGGGGACCGTCTCCCTCGTGATTATAACACCCATGGAGCCTCAGGAGGCCGGTGTTTAATGGGAACGCCCAACCAGGACTGCCCCCTGGCCTGTGTTCTGCCCCTGCGGCTCCAAACCCCCCTGCTCTGGTCTGCACGTGAATCTGGGATCAGCCTCCAGAGGCCTCCCAGCCATGTTCCTCTTCCTCTCGGCCTGCAGCATCTGGCACCTCACCCGCACCTTCTTCCTGATGCCTCGCTGGCACATCCCCTACCCGCTGCCCTCTGGGTACACATACGGGTGAGCCACCCTCCACCCTACCGCCCACTCCATGGGTCCCTCCATCCCCCCTCTCCATCTGCGGCCCCCTCCATCCCCACGGGCCCCTCCAC